TTCACTTTTAAAGGCTCTGGGGATTTTTTCCAGTGTCCCTGAACGACACTTAGGATCAATCAAACTGTGCAATCACCCTAACCCTAACCCTCAATCAGGGACCACTGGGATTCGACTAGACAGGTATTTACCAAAGTAAGCCACGGTGCCTTGATGATGAACATTTGGACTCACTTTCAGGCTCTAGGGGGATTGCATGGGGAGCTGAAAAACAAGGAAAACACAGTTGGATGCTTTAAGGGGAGGTGAAATTGGAAAACTAACACATCGTCAACATTGATTAGGACAAGTTTTAAGACAATGTCTTAAACTTTTACTTTCAGAGCAACAATCTTTGACGTCCCTGGGTGGGCTCTAACCACAATCCTCTCGGGTTAACGCTGAGCAGCGGCTGGCGATTGCGCCACAGAGACACTTTGAGTGTACATGTCGGTTGAACAACTAATTGAGACATTGCTCAGCAACAAGCTTTCGTAGAACCATCCAAGTTCTGCTTGGACTCCCACTGTTCTGACCCCTGAAAAGGATGGCATCTCCCAACCCCAGTCTCATATAAAACGTACCCTGGCTACGGTTGGTCCAAAGTGCCAAAAACGTTTAAGGAGGGGTTACAATAATGCCCTTAAATTGTATCACTTTAAATTTTCTGCCTATTTCTTTTCATATTGTTTTGCGTCCCAAGGTCACATGACTTCAAGGATCCCGGCTGTGGAGGAACAAAAAACCATGGCGGACATTTCTCTCATTTTTTAGGAAAAAAATCCATATTTTAGTTAGTTTCTCATAAAAATGCGTTTTGATTTACATTTCTAGCGGGAAAGAAATATGTTATTTTATTTTCATAATATTCCACTCATGAAATGTACCATAATCACTCGCTTGCTCGTAGTTGGAGAAGATTTTTCAGCTCTCGCCAGAATAATGTGAAACTGGAAACGTTTTTGGGTTGCTATGGACGCTGCTAGATTTCCATCATAGTGAATTAAAGTATCTCTTGTCTTAAAGATATTTGTTGTTTTATAACGCAGCACTACAGTAGACTGACGTCAAATATGTCGCTTTAATAATCACGCCTTCAGTTGTGAAGTTTTTTTGATAGCGGAAGTAGCAACATTGGCCGTTACTATGGAGAGAGACCGTCCGCTTTGGCGTTCACGTGAGCTGGAGCAGGTTGGCGCGCTGGTCTCCTGGTTTTTAGTTCAAATATCTTCATTAAACAAACATTGGTTGTCTTTTCTTAGCATAGATCATATAGCATGCAGTATCATTTTCATTACACATGTGGTGTGGATATCTGATATATTAGGTGATATACGTTTTCACAACCATAAAAAGGAGGAACTAAACCTGGGTTGCTATGTCAACACAAGTACTGAAGAGAGGTCTAGGGAGTTGTAGTTTTTTAAAAAATCCAGGGTTTTCCCAAATTGGAAGTTGTAAATACTTAATTTGGTGGCATTCCAGATGTTTTGGAGGGATGTCAAACACATTTTTAGTATCAGACTTTAATATTGTCTTGTTCAATAAAGGAATTTTTATTTCTACACCACAGGACCCCCCACACCCTTGGTGACTATGCTCACATTTATAGCCCATGTCAACACCTTTCATGATAACAGTTAGTTCATGTCTGTAACCCTTTTTTTGCCCCGTAATTATAAGCCTTCAAATATGCCCTGAGTTAAGGTTCCAAAGGTCAATGGTCTCAAATCAGGAAATAATATAGAACCTTCAAATTTGATATATTGTTTACTCTCCCAGGCTCAAGCCTTTCCAGAGATTGTATTTGGGTTTAGCTCTATGACAAGTTTTAATATTTCACATTTTGGACATGTGTCCTAACAGCTCATGGTTCAGAGAGGCACTTTTGAGTGTGTGGTGTGGTGGTGTGTGGGTGTGTGTGTGTGGGTGTGTTGGTGTGTGCTGTGTGTAACATAATGATCAAAATGAGGATTGTAGAGATTTTTTGGTATCTTATGATTTTGGAGTGTTTTACGGGAAAGAATTTTTTTTGCAGGAAGTGGTGAAAATCGGAGAGTAGTGTGTGGAAGACATGGGACATTTTTGAGGAGGAAATAAATTTTTTCGTCGCGAAGGCATTATCTCTGTGATTTGATCTTTCTTGGGCTTTCGGGTGGAAGCGAGCGGTGGAAAAACAGGTAGGAGGACAGTACTGGTTTTGTACGGGTTTCTGCACAACGTAATGAGTTGAAAAGGCATGTTGTTGTGTCACGTAAGGTTTCCACTGATCATGTTGCACAGACATTTTAATTGCATTTGTAGGGAGGAAACAAAAGGCACTCTTTAGGATATGCCCCCAAGGAAGTTTGTATCTATAACTAACTTGGGAGGCTCTGGCCATTAGCTGCAGGATCTCCCCAGTTTGCTAGAAACCAATTCTGGTCGTTCTTTTTCCTATCGACAGTACTCGGTGCCCTGTAGTGATCAAGACTAGGGTAAAAATCTGCCGAAGTTCCCCTTTAATGCTGAAACTCACCATGATGGTTTTCCAGTGTACATGAAATGTTGAAGTCTATGCATGGAGCCTAGTACTTTAGCCCTCTGGATCTCCAAGGCGGGAACTGGCAGTGGGCCATGGATGAGAACAGCAAGCACAAGACGGCTGTGATCGCTCACCTAGGCCTGTTCCACTTTTCGTCTTAAGTCTTACCATTCAGTTTGTGGATTAATTTAACTACAGCCCGTCATTCTAGAGTTTGAACTCGTTTCAGTGGAAGAGGATCTGGTTCTGACTTCACTCTGACCCTCAGTTCAGGCTAAAGATTCAGGAGTTTCCTACTGTCAGCAGGGTCTTTACACAGCATTCACACAGTGATCCTACTGGAGAGCAACTGATCAGACTCAACAGCTGCACTAAAACCAAAACAACTCAGGTATCACTAAAATAGTTCATAATAATAAAAAAAAACATTTTAACACTACTTGTGTTCATACACAGATTATAAACCATGTCTGGTAATTGTGGACTAGAAGGACTTTTGCAGAAACTTTGGATTTGAGCTCTCTAGCTCTGTAGTAACACTTCTACACTGACCCTGTCCTGCTAATACAAAATGTCCGCCTAGTGTCGTTGTGTATTGTTATCAAATGTCCACTTGATACACAAAAACCATCACAAACACACACACACACATTGTATTTATGCATAATATTCATACACACAATATTCGTTGCCATAAACTAAACTAGTGGTTATACAAATGATGCTATCATGAGGATATATAATATGTATAATAATATTTATTCAAAAATAATCACATTTAATCTCACTTTTTAGTGTTCAGTGTTTAGCACTGGAATTTCCCAGCATCCCTGAACGCACTTGGATCAAATTCAAACTGTGCAATCACCAAGGGTTGATTTGCTGTCGTCCTTTAAGGTAACGTTAGCTTTATGTGTCTAAATGCTAACTCTTCATGAGTAAAACGGGTTAAATTGAAGAATGTTAAAGAACTCAAATCAGGCACCGCTGGGATTCAAACCCAGGATCTTCCTGTTTACTAGACAGGCACTTTAACCCAACTAAGCCACAGCACCAGATGATGAACAAAACCTGCTCACTTACAGTCTGTAGGATTGCATGAGGAGCCAAAAAACAAGATCCTTTCGAGACTTGTGGAAACACAAGGCAAAACACAGTTGGAGCTTTAGGGCTCGAGGGAGGTGAAACTGGACAAACTAGCACATCATCAAGATTGACAGACGTGTTTCAAGACAATGTCTAAACTTTGTACTTCAGAGGAACATTTTTTGAACGTCCCTGGGTGGGCTCGAACCACCATCCTCTCGGTTAACAGCCGAGCGCTTCTCTTAGGGGGGGTCAGTTAAGGGATTTCTGAGTGGAGTGGACCAATATCTGTCCTCGAGCCTTCAACAGTACAGCAGGTTCAATTGTTCAAATCGATATTAAATTGATCTGATAACTTATATGGAGCTAACACATACAGGAAATACACCCTCTATGTAGCGTTACTATTTCTATAGTGTTAGCTAACTTTAGCAACGATTCTGAATTAGTTAAATATTTTTTCCCTACTAAATAAGAATTGTCTTGTTAACTCACTCAGTTGCTCAGAGTCTGGTGATAGAGATCACAACACAGGGGTTACAGTTCAATATATTGTAGGTAAGGCCATATATTGGCAATTAATTAATTAATTTTAGGAAAACTGTCCATAATATTAATAAAATCTGAGCAAAAAGTCGCTTTAACATCCAAGATCATAAACATTAGTGCTTCTGTCTGATCCACCTGTGTTATACCTGTCAATCATCAACAAAAAACAGCAATAAGAAAGATTAAAAGACCACAGAGAACAACAAAGAAGGAAAACAGGAAAGAACAACAAAAACAACAATAATAACAACAAACAACAACAACAAACAACATATTTTAGAATCAGAAGGGTTGAAGTTCTATTTGTAAGCTGGTTTCTGTCTCTGGCTGTAGTGCATTATTTACCATTGTTATTGTACTGTCCAGAGCTGTTGGGTCGGAGGTCAGAGGTCAGTTTATAGCCACACAGCAGTGTCAGTCAACGTCTGCTAAAGTCTGTCAGTTAGCATGTTAGCATGAACTCTTCTTGTTTAATATTGAACATAGCGTGACAACAATTTGACATCAAAGAAACAAACACCCTGTTTGAGTCTGTGCAGGTAAACTGGACAAAGTCAACATTTATTACAGTAAATGGTTGTTAGCGAGCGCACTGAATGTGCTGTACGCAGGGACGGACTGGGACTAAAAAACATGGACTTTGACTAGGCCCGCGCCCAAACACGCAAAATCGGGCGGCGCGGAAAAAACCTCAACAACAACAACAACATAACCGCCATGGCAAAAAACCCAAATAATCAATTAATACCTTAAAAATAAATTATTAATTAAAAATTAATTCCGTGATATCTTAATATGCAATGCTTATTACTTAATAATGCTTAATTGTAATTTATGCAGTAATTAATCTTAGCAGGAGCACAAACTAACATAAAGACACATGATCTTAATGAAAATACCACATTCCCACAAACTGTAACCTTCTGTATTCAAAGTCTTCAAAGTTTGTAAGCATATAACTGTACGCGTTACCAAAACTTTAAAAAGTAAAAGCACACATGTTCTTAATAAAATTAGCTACTACTGCATGTGGGCATTTCTTACAGGCTAAAACTCGTTTAGCATTGAGCTGTTTCAAACTTAGTAATGCATCTCTACGTCCTCAGGTTGTGCATATTTCGGCATTGTACCTTGAGGGCAAGCGACAAACTCGGGTCATAACGAAAAAAAAATGTAGCCAACCTGAAATACAATTTCCTAAATCAGCGCTAGCAGGTACTCTCTTTCTTCCTCTCTCATGCTTACCTAACAGCATACTGCCCTGTAGTCTGTGGAACCAGCTCATCTCTCCTGTCCATCTCGATCATCACAGGCTTGGGACCCGTGTCCATGTTGAGCGCTGCACAGCTGTCTGCTCACTTGCTTTCATGCAGTTCCGGATGGCCTGCTAATTATTAAACCTGAACCTTGTGTCAGCCTGGTGCTGCTGACCATTTCAGTTAGTGTTGCACATTTAGCGGCTTCACCTCCGTCTAATGTCACCTTCTTGTTTTTCCCTCCCGCCTTCCTCAGCCCCCGCCCTTTCTTTTCGTTTTTACAGCGTTCCTCCATACTTGTTTCTATGGTCCTTGAACGCTCTTGCTGCTGCTACTCTCTCTCTTCTTCTCTCCACGGCCGGGGGCATGCTGGCATCCAACTTAAAGGTGCGCTTGCGGCCACCTACGTACTGGCAGTGGTGAATACAGTCAGATTCAGCAAGAGGGGAAAAACAGGGTGATGAACTGCGTGGCGGGTGGTGGGCTGCAGGCCGTCTGGAGTACCAGCGTTCTGGTGATTCTCGCAGATCAACGCTCGCGCCTGGCAGAGAGGACAGATGTGTGTCAGCTGGCAGCTATTATTGGTGCTGAGGGAAGTGAGGGTGGCTGCTCCCTTCAGAACACACCAATGTGTACGTTCATATATTTATTATTACATAAGACAAACAGTTCAATACAAGGATTTCTGCATCATAGCCCGACAACAAGTGACCTTTTATTTTGAAAATCAGTCAGGAGACCAAAATGCGGTTCCCTATTCCTCGATCCGGTCCCGGCAGCATCTCTGGTGTGTTTTCAGGACTTTAAGATCTTCAGGGAAACACTCAAAAAAAAGCAGTCTGGTGCTGAGATACTAAGAAAACATAAGGAAATTAGTCCATAATCTCAGATCAAGAGGATATTTGGATGAAAACGAAACCCACAATTATAGATAAACGTGCAGAACAGTTAAATTTTTGTCTCAGTTAATTAATGAAATAATTGTAGAAGAATCCTATTTAGCAAAGTTATCTTCACACAGTCAGTGGCTATTAAAGAAGGGACAGAAAAACAAGACATTTTTTTGTAATTACAAATAATTCTGATACTTCACAGATGTGTATTCAAACCTGCCAAGATTCCCGTTTTTTCCAGCTTTCTCCCGTATTTCTAGGCCATCTCCCAATTTGTTGTTTCTCCTGAAAGACAATCTGCATGGCCCCCAAACTTTATTATGAATATTGGTCAATAGTTGGGTACCGTTCACCATCCAACAACCACTTATCCAACTAGATAATTAATTGCCTGAAGTTGTCGATAAAGTTGTTGATAAAGTCTTGTCTTTATTTTTAGTTGCGGCCTTTTTCACAAATATTGTATCATCTACGTCGGTGAATTAA